CATTATACTCAATAGGCAAAAACTACAAGTGTTTCCCTTAATAGCAGAAACAAGATAGGTATGTTTGCTTTCACCACTCTTATTAAACATAGAACTAGAAGTCCTAACCACAGCAATCAGACAAGAAGAAATAAAAGGCATCCACATTGGAAAGGAAGAAGTAAAATGGTCATTATTTGGACATGACATGGATACTGTTATGTAGAGAACCCTAAAGATTCCACAAAAAACCTACTAGAATTGATAAATGAATTTAGCAAAGTAGCAGAATACAAAATTAATATCCAGGAATTGGTTGCATTTTTATACACCAATAATGAACTATGAGAAAGGGAAACTAATAAAACAATCTCATTTACAATTGCATCAAAAAATACCTAGAAATAAATTTAACCAAGGATGTAAAATAACTGTATTTGGAAAATTATAAGACACTGAAAAAGATAGAAATAAGTGGAAGCATATACTGTGGTCTAGGATAGGAAGAATTAGTATCATTAAAATGTCCATACTACCCAAGCAATTTGTAGGTTGCAATTCCTATCAAGATACCAATGGTGTATTTCACAGAACTAGAAAGAATATTCCAAAAGTTATTGTGGGAACAAAGAAGACCTCCAATAGTGACAGCAATCTTGAGAAAGAAGAATAAAGTTGGAGGACTTATGCTACCTGATATCAAACTATACTACAAGACCATAGTAATCAAAATAGCATGGTACTGGCATAAAAACCCATGTATAGATCAATGGAACAGAATAGAGAACATGGAGAAAAATACCTTTATGGTCCATCAATATTTGACAAAGGAGTCAAGAACATAGAGGTAAAGGTAGTCTATTCAATAAATGGTGAGGAAATTTGACAGATAAGTGAAAACAATGAAACTAGACCACCTTTTATACCATATACAAGAATAAATGTAAAATGGATTAAATACTTAAATGTAAAACTCAAAATCATAAAAATATTAGAAGAAAGCATAGGCAGTAAAATCTTGGACATTTATTGAAGTAATATTTTTGCTGATACATCACTTCAGGCAAGGGAAAGAAAAAACAAACAAATGGGACTACATCAAACTAAAAAGTTCTTGCACAGCAAAGAAAATCAACAACAAAATAAAAGACAACCCACTGAATAGAGAACATATTCACCAATGATAGACCTGATAAGGGATTAATATCAAAATTCAAAAAGGACTTTCAAAACTCAACACCAAAAAACATACACTCCAATTAAATAGAGGAAATAGAGATGGCCAGTAGGTATGTGAAAAGATGCTCAGCATAACTAATCATCAGAGAAGTGCAATTCTAAACCACAATGAGCTATCACCTCAAACCTGTCAGAATGGCTATCATCAATAACTCAACAAACAAGTGTTGGTGAGGATGTGGAGAAAAGAGGATTCTTGTGCACTGTTGTGGGTGGGAATGCAGATTGGTGTGGCCACTGTGGAAAGCAGTATGGAGTTTCCTCAAATAATTAAAAATGGAACAGCATTATAACCTAGCATTTCCACTTCTGGGAATAAATGAGAAGAAACCCAAAACACTAGTTCAAAAGAACATAGGCACCTGTATGTTCATTGCAGTATTATTTACAATAGTCAAGATTGGAAGCAACCCAAGTGTCCATCAGTAGATGAGTGGATAAAAAAGCTGTGGCACATTTACACAATGGAATACTACTCAACAGTAAAAAAGAAGGAAATCTTACCCTTTGCCACAGCATGGATGGACTTAGAGAGCATTATGGTAAAGTGAAATAAGCCAGTCAGTGAAAGAAAAGTACCATATGATTTCACTCATGTATATAATCTAGTGTACAAAATAAACTACAAACAAAACAAACACACTCATAGATAGAGAATTGACTGACAGCTGCTGGAGGGGATGGGGGTTGTGGGGCTGGGTGAAAGAAACAAAGGAATTAAGGGGAAAAAAGCCTCATAGACACAGACAACAACAGTATGGTGATTTCCAGAGGGACAGGTGTGTTGGGGGAGGTAAAAGAGGGTATGGGAGGAGAAATGGTGATGGAAGGAGACTTAGTGTGGTGAACACAATACTATATACAGATGATGTATTATAGAATTGTACACCTGAAACCTATATAACGTTATTAACCAGTGTCACCCCAATACATTAAATAGAAAATAAAATAAATTCCCCCCAAAATAAGCCAAGGCAGCCATAAAAACTCCTTAAATTTGACCTCAAACAAAATAAACTTTAGCACAGAATACTACTAGAAACAAAGTCATTTCATAATGATAAAAACTTATATTCATCAGGAAAATAAAGCAATTATAAATGTATATACATCTAATAACCAAGTCTTAAAGTAGATGAAGGAAAATTTTACAGAATTGAAAGGATTAACAGACAATACAACAATTATAGCTGGAGACTTCAATACGCTGCTTTCAATACAACTAGACTGAAAATCAGCAAGGATATTGAAGACTTGAACAGCATTATCAACCATCTTGACCTGAAATTTCACCCAATGACAGCAAGAATATATACTCTTCAAACACTCATAAATCAAATTTGGTAAATCTGAAAGGATTGAAATTATACAAGGCATATTCTCAAAGCATGGTAGATTTAAGTTAGAAATTAACAACATAGAAATTTGGATATCCTCAAATACATGCATACCTTGGAGATATTGCAGATTCAGCTTCAAAACATCACAATAAAATGAATATCACAATAAAGTGAGTCTCATGAATTTTTGGGTTTTCCACTGCATATAAGAGTTATGTTTTCACTATATATTGGTCTATTAAGTTTGTAATAGTATTATGCCTAAAAAATTTACATACCTTAATTTTAAAATACTTCATTGTGTAAAAAACCCCCAAAAAACCCTATTATCTGGGCCTGTAGGAAAAACGGCACTGATACATGTGGTCAACATAGGGTTGCCACAAACCTTCAATTTGTAAAACACATACACACACACACACACACAACCTCAGTATCTGTGAAGCGCAATAAAGTGAAGCACAATAAAATGAGGTATGCCTGTATTTGGAAACTAAACAATACTCTTAAGTCACTGATGGCCTGAAGAAGAAATCTACAAGGGAAATTAGAAAATATTTTGAATTGAATGAAAAGAAAAAAGCAAAATATCAAAATTTATAGGATGTAGCTAAAATGGTGCTGAGAGAAAAATTAATAGCTTTAAATACCGACAGAAAAAAAATTAAGCTCATAGACACAAAAGAGCCAGATTGGTGGTTGTAAGAAGCAGAGCTTAAGATGTTGGCAAAATGAGTGAAGGGAGTCAAAAGGTACAAATGTCCAGGAATAAAATAAATAAGTTATGGGGATGTAATGTACAGCATGGTGACTATATTTAATAATAGTTGCTAAGAGGGTAGATCTTAACAGTTCTCATGACAAGGAAAAATGTAACTGTGTGGTAATGGATGTTACCTAGACTTATGATTATTTTCCAACATATACAAATATTAAATCATGTTGTTCACCTAAATCTAATATAATGTATCTCCATCATCCTTCAATTTAAAAAAAGAAAAAATGCCTACAGAAAAAAGGAAGCCCTCAAATCAATGATGTACGCTTCCATCTTTAGAAAGTGAAAAAGAAGAGCAAACTAAATCTAAAACAAGCAGAGGAAGAAAATAATACAGATTAGAAATTAATGGAATAGAAACAATAAAGAAAGTCAAAAGTTGGCTCTCTGAAATAAAAGTAAACAAAATTTACAAATCTTTAGCTAGTTTAACCTAGGGAAAAAAAAGACACAAATGAACAAGATTAAAATTAAAGCAGGGACAAAACTATTGACCCTACAGAAAGTAAAAGGACTAAGGGACTACAGATATAATAAACAACGTCATGCCAAGAAATTGGTAAACCTAAGTAGTTACTAAAACAAGTAACGATAACATCTTATGTTTTAAAAGCTACGCTAATACTAAATTTCAAAATTAAAATAACATGGAAGATGCTTAGAGGAAAGTTAAAGCATAAAAAAGTCCCCAATTTTTTTTTGTTTTACATAATTGGCTTGTCATCATTCATTGTCAATGTGATGAAAAATGTCTCAAGCCTCTATATCCCTTCTGTTTCTGTTGACACTCTAATCCTGAAAGCTGGAGAGGTGGGAAGGTTTAGATTTGAAAGATGGACACTGTCTATATCAGTGGCTTTTAAACTTTTTAAACTGTCACATTAGTTGACATTGTGAACAAGTGTATTTACATAAAACAGAAGACAAAGTTCCACAAAGTAATAACCTTTACGTGTGATTACTATGATATTTTGCATTCTGTTCTGCTTTATTCTATTTCATTTTTTGGTGTTATTTCATAACATTTTAAATTGGTTTCATGATCCATATGGTCTTAAGGCTTGGATAACACTGGTAAGAGTGTTTCTTGAGAAGTCCTAAATGTTTACCTCTCCTGTTTTAACAATTGTTATGATACCAAGTCTAAAATTAGGTCAAAATAAAAAACGAAATGAGAAAAAGATATGATAGAAATCGGTTAATTAGTATAAGGATCTTTGAGATCTTCTCAGTTAAGAATATTTTGTTTGATAAATGTTTATTGTTATTACTAGCATCTTCCTTTCTATCACCCAGAGTGGAAGCTTGGATTTCACAACCACCTTTCTTATTAAATAAGTCATCCAGTTCTGTGGATTCTCTCCTCACAATGTGTTTCATGTCTTTGTTATCTTTTTCAAAATGATTACAATACAGTATTTTTATTATGAAGAAGCTGTTACTTTAAAAAACTAGATATTTCTATAAGTTTTCTTTAAATAGAAATAGGGAAGACAGCTGAATACTCTAAAAGATCTGAAAACATTAACTTTTGTGAAAATTCGACAGTATTTCAAATAGACTAAATATTGAAAACAAAACAAAATCTGATTTCTTTCAACCTTTAATATTGTTAACAGAGACTGAAGTTCACCTAAATACTTTGGGGTGATATTTTCTTCTAGGAACTTGATCAAAATGCCACTGAGAAAGTCCAAGCAATGTTCACAGCCATTGATGAACTCTTATATGAGCAGAAGTTGAGTGTACATACTAAGAGTCTACAAGAGGAGTGCCAACAGTGGACATGTAGCTTTCCTCACCTCAGGTATTCATGGCCAATACTAAAACATGAAAAGCAGATTTCCAAAAAACTTGTATTCAGAATCTTTATGGGAATGGTTTTGATGAGTGTAATAAGGCCATGCCGTATAAAACTTCAGCTGAAAGAAAACTAAGTTGCTGGAAGTTTCTCGGAGTTTTCATAAGTATCATTATGTCATGCTAAACCAGTAAAACAGTTTCTGCACTTGTAGTTGAGATCTGTGTGTTACGGCTGTCCAAAAGGCCTTCTTTTGAAAAATACGGTCAGAAAATCTATTTGTTTACTCTCTTATCTACAGGTAAATTTTTATATATAGTTGAAAGCACACATAAGCTTTTAGAAATATTTTCTTAGAAACCATATTAGTACACTTAATGCACATACTTAAAACTTATGAAGCTTCATGTTCTTAAGAATATAATTCATGGTTTTCACTATTTTGGCTTGGCTTTCACTCATCTTGGCAAGTTTAAAGAAGATTATTATAAAGGATAGAGGGACAATTACAAAGTTTGCTCAGTTTCCTTGGATATTTTGTGGGGGCTATAATAGCTTTATCTTTTCCATGTCTATTCTATGTAAGAGAGATATGTCTGTAATAAGGCTCTGTATTCACATTTTCTCTAAGAATCATTCTTAATGAGTTATCAGATTAAATGCATACTGGACTTCTATGTAGAGCTATCAAACTTTTCTAAAAAATACCTACATTTCGTATTTATGCCATGTAAAGGTACTTAACTGACTTTTTATATTCATTTTGAAGGATTTTGGGTAAGCAGATAATCGCTCCAAGTGAAGGATATGCACTGTATCCTAGATCCCCTTCTGCTATTTCAGCTTCACATGAGGCAGCATTGTCTCAAGAAAGAGATTCTACTATGTAAGTATTGTAATATCTAAGTATTTATATATCCAAATGCCCAAGTATTATATTCTATTAGTTCTATTAAGGAATTAAAATACTTTTTCCTTCATTTTGGTATTTAATAAAGGACAGCAAATTCTGTAAGACTGACCATAGTCTTTGTGCATATCAGAATTTTGTTATATAATTTTTTAAAAAGTAGGACATTCCCTAGGGTTTATGGATATTTTTGTTATGTAGATCGATATATTATCTATACCTATATTCTTCCATCTGCAGATACAGGAAGTTCCCTCAGTATAAATGTGTAGATAGACTAGTTTAAAGAAATTTAAGAGTCTAAGAAATAGACCTTAAAATTTTTGTGAAAAAGTGATTTAGCTTAAACATGTAATATTACTGATAACCTAACCTCTTTATAGAAGTTAAACTATTAGTTTTTTAGCTTTACAGGGGATATTAGTATATTAGTTAAAATGGCTAATTCTTTTGAACAACTCAAACTGTTTCAATAGCAGCAAAATATACCCAAATAGGATTATTTCAAAACCTATGCTTACCCTTAAATCTAGTGTAAAATATAGTTTTAATTCATTTTTAATTTTTTCTCTTATTCCTAAGACTGTAGTTATACTATTTGATATCATCTAAGAGTTGTCATAATATTTACTTTTGATGGCTGTTTTGCTTGTAGTAATTTCATCAGTCCACAAAATGAAATATTATTACCTTAGGCCAATTAGGGTTATGGGATTTGGGTTATCAATAACTGACTTTTGGTCAGAAATGGGATTTGTTTGCTTTTCTCAAAGTGATTTAAACTCAAGTTCCTGGTCACTAGGCTGAGCTTTCTTTTTAAAGTTTACCCTTTATATAAATTTCACATTTTTACAACTAATGTATCCTACAGAGATGAAGTATTCATTAATTTTTACTGACAAAAACTGCGTAACTCATGTTCTGTCATTAAAATACATTTTTCTGATCTGTTAGTATAAACTTTATATATATGTATCTCATTCTAATTTTATAACTATAAATAACAGTTTCATTTAGAGATTTCATCTCAAAGGAAATAAAGCACTGTCTAAGCAGTTAGCTTCTCCAAAGGGCTAAATCATCATTCTACAACATGCTGCGGACCCCCTTTCTTTGCTTTCTACCTGCTACCACTGCTGATTGATGCTTATTTTTGGTTTTGTCTTCATGGACTATTTGATTTACAGTTTTCAATAATTTCTTCACTATAGTACAGATTTATTTATGTTATTTACGTTCATAACTACTACTTTGTCCATTTGTGATATTTTCTCTCTTGAGTACCATACGAACTCATAGCATTTCAAAATATTTATGTTTTAATTAACTATTATTACTGATGTTTCAATTGTTACAATGAGGCTGTGTCGAGCTAGTTCCTCAGTTTTTGTCTTGACTGTATCCTTGCCTTCTGGTTACAGTAGATGACCCAGGCCCATCCTAATTTTTCCTTCCTTTACACTATGCTAGCTAAGGATGTTTTCCCTGAAGTTTTCTTTATGGTCCAAGATTTCTGATAGAGTTCCAAAGATGACATTCACATTACAGGTAGCAGAAAGGAGGAAAGGCAGAAAGGCAAAATGACACCCCTTATAGGCAAGCTAGTTCTCCTCAAACAGCCTTTCCAGAATTCCACATAACAATTCTGCTCACATATTATTGGCTACATCTATCTGGCTGTGGGGTAGTGGGAAATGTAGCCTTTGAGGTGGGTGTTGCTCTCCTGAATTAAACTGATGTGATCTACTAGGAAAGGAGGAAAGAATGGATATTGGGGGCATCCAGCATTCTCTGCGACACATGTATATAATTTTATGAAATTACTGTACATATTATGTAACCTTTTTATACAATCCTTACCATTTTATTTTGGGCTCTTTCTATTTTCTCCTATAACATTAATTTAATGACCATATAGTATTCCATTACATTAATATATCATTATTTAAACAATCAATACCTGAACCTGTATTTTGAAACTGTTGGGCTAGCTTTAATTTTTGGCAATTATAAACAATTCTGTGATGATAATTTTTATAGCTTAACCTTGTAGGGCATACCCTTGAAGAATATCCCTACAAACAGAATCACTGAATTAATGGTTATTATCTATTTTAAGTCTTTGAATATGTATTTCCAAAATGTCTTCCAGTAAGATTTTACCACTAGCCTTGCTAAAAAGTGCCATAGATTTGTTCTTTTTCCTCATTAAAAAAATATCCAAGGTACAAAAAAAGTATAAGGAATAATATATAGATGCCTTGGTTATATTTGATATTTAGTTAAACAAAGAAGCATTTTTAAAAATTGTATTGCTTAAACGGTCAACTACCTCCTACCCTAGAACTGATCAATCAGTAGAGACCACGACCTTGACCCTGACCCCAACTTCCTTAGTCACCATGAGTAGTGAGTATTCCTCTATACAACCTGTTCCCTGAAAGCCACCAGAGAGCCAGGTCTTTAATCATTTGCCACCTGTGACTCTGGATGTACTGATACTTCCTCAGCTAATAAACCCTTACTTTCTTTGTTGCATTAGAAAAAAATTGTATTGCTTAGATCTGACTGACTTTCTCCAAAGTATGCTTGCTGAAATAAGTAAGTCATCACATATTCATTGAATACCTGAGTTTGAAGAGAACTTTAAATATTATAAATAAGAGAAGATCCCTGCCCTTAAGGAGCATGCATTTTGAACAATGGTAGAATTACTGAAATAAGTACATAACCTCCTGAGGTGCCTTTAAAGATGTAATTATGAATCTAAATGTTCTTAGATTTTTTTTAAAAATTTATTTTATAGCCACAGTTGTTGCAACTGAAAAGAGAGCCAGCAGTATTCAATACTTTATAATACGCCTAAGCAGGTAAGTCTATGGCTAGTATTCTTCCTGTTCTGAGGATTAATAGGCATTAAGGTTTATGGCAGTATAGGAAGGTGTCACAAGGACAAGGGACTTGGAGCTAAAACTCTTGTGATTGAGTTGCTGTGAGAACTGTTTATGTTGTACATAATCGATATTTGCTTTATTTTCTCTCCCAGATTTGGTATTAGGGGAAAGAAGTTACATTTTTCAACTCCTTATGTTCATAAAGCATCTTTCATTGCCAAATCCCCTAGCCTGTGTTCTATGGAAAAAGAAGAGGAAGACTGTGTAATCCTCTCTGAAGGAATAATAGAGGAGTATCTAGCATTTGACCACACAGATATGTGAGTGTTATGTCTTTTTAGCTATTTACTTTTCTCCTATTTTATGTACTAGTATCTATTTTTTCTAAAGTATACTACCAATATTACCTATAATTAGATTTATGTCACTTTTTGTTACTACTTTTCTATTACTTCTCGGGTATCTGGAGTTCATGTGCTTACTTGATATAAATCCCTACTACTTCTACATATCAGATTTCTTGTGTATTTTCTTCCTGCATATATCATTTGTCTCTCCTTGACATTAAACATTATTAAATGAGTTAATTATTTCTCCACATAATTTGACTTTACCCTTGGTAAAGTATCACCAGTAACCCATGGAACCACTGAAACTTTTTAAAAGAACAGTTGAAGAAATGTGAGCTTCATTTACATAAATCCTGTTTGAAAAAGGTACATACAGTTTATATAAAATCCTCATACTCAACACAGACTCTGTAATTAATAATGCTTATTTGTGTCTATTCTTATTGTCTTCTGACAATAGTCCTGTGACATAGAAATTATTTACCCTCTTTACAGGATAGGTGAGAATCAGAGTAGTTAAATGATTTGTCTCAGGTAAAGCTAAAACTAAAACCTTATCCAATTCTAAATCCAGTGTTCTCTTCATATTCTATGCTACCTTTATGAGACATTAAATTCTTTTGATTTAGATTTCATTTATTTATTTTTAGAGAGGGGGAAGAGAGAGAAAGAGAGGGAGAGAAACATCGTTGTGGGAGAGAGACATCTATCGGTTGCCTCTCACACGCCCTGAACTGGGGACCTGGCCTGCAACCCAGGCATGTGCCCTGACTGGGAATCAAACTGGTGACCTTTTGGTTCTCAGTCCACTGAGCCACACCAGCCAGGGCTGAAACATTAAACCTTTAAACTATTGCCTCAAGCCTTTAAAAGTTCCAGAATTGATAGTCATAGCAGCGTATTTGGAAGTGAGTAAAAATTTCATTTTAGGCTATGAGGATTTGGTTAGGTCTAGTTAGTATTGTGTCAATGATTCTGGAATTTTCTTCGCATCATATTTCCTACTGAGCCATGTTTACCCATGTACTCAATGTACATATCCTAGGGTCAGCTAAACATAACCCAGATTTCTGCACATAACAACACTGAGCTAGGAAAAGAATCATAATTAGGTTCTTTTGGTTTTCTGGAAACTGCCCCTTTCCCTTTACTTCACCTGGCATGAGTCAGATTATCTCTATTTTCCTTTTTCCTCAAGTCAATTTTCTCCCTTGGTTTTCGCTTATAAAAATAAAGCCAATTTAACAAATTTAAAATATGATGTAAGTATATAGGTGTCCCCTAGGGCATCTCTTTCCCTTTTCCTGATAGTAAACCCAAATGAATTTTCAGGTAGTACAGGAAAGATTTTTAAAAAAGCAGTTTTCACTTTAGAGATAACCACTGAGATACAGACTGAAAAATGACAGTTGTTGGACCTTTAGAATGTTTCTAATTTAAAAGATTGAAGGCCCATAAGTAAACCAAAACACCTATAGGAAATTAATGTATACAATAGTTTCAGCAAATGATTTTGGTGCAACATAGATAAACTGTCCAGAAAAAACAAGGTTCCTAAATTATTTTTTACATAAAATAAGTTTCATACATATAAAAAAATTAAACGTGACAAGTAAAATCATATAAGTTTAGGGAAAAAAATTATTATTGTTAAATATTTCTTATTAAAAATTATTAAAGATTATTTTTAAAAAATAATTCAACCTGGCTGGGTAGCTCAGTTGGTTAGAGCATCATCCTGATGCACCAAGGTTGGGTTTGCTCTCCGGTCAGGGCACATACAAGAAGCAACCAATGCAAGCATAAATAAGTGGAACAACAAACTGATCTTTCTCTCTCCAAAAAAATAAATAAATAAATAAATAAAAAATAAAAATAATTTGGGAATAGGTAAGGCCTTTCTAACCGTAACACAAAATATACAAGCCATTTAAAAAATTATTTAAAATAACTATATAAAATTAAATTTCTATATAGGAAAAACTCAAGCAGTCAAATGACAAATGACAGACTGGAAAAACATTTGCAGTTCATACATACACAAAGACTTATTAATTTCCTTAATATGTACACATCAATAAAAAAAATACTAAGGACAAAACAGGCAAAGAATATGAATAGTTTGCATGAAAAGGAAGTGGATTTTAAATACAAGGTGAGGCAAAACTAGGTTTACAGTTGTTCATGTGGAAAACGATACATTAATTAATAAATAATACAAGAATAAATTGTTTCACATACTCTCAACTATAAATCTACTTTTGCCCCACTCTGTATATGAAATGAAATTGTCTCATTCACAAGTAGAGATTCTAATTAAAAGTATGAGGTAATTTTTTTTTGTCAGACTGGCAGAGACTAAAAGATAAAGTAGTTTGATGATTACTTGAATGGGAAAACAGGCATATTGTTTTACCACTGGAGAATTATACTTCCACTAGAGGAAAGTGGGCAATATCTTTCAAATTGAAATGCATAGACCCTTTGACATAACAATCCTATTTGTAGGAGTTTAACCTACAGATATAATACCCATGCAGCTAAAGAACTAAGTACAAGGATATTAATTACAGCATTGACTCTAAGAGCAAAAGGTTAGTTCATCAATGTTTAGTCCTTGAGACCTCTGCTGCCCTTGGGGTATCTGTCACTGCAGACAGAGCTGAGAAATATTTCTCCCTACCCCAAGCCAGTTCCAGAATTTGCTTTGTCGTAGTTTATACTACATCTATCATAGTAAGCACATCAGCTAGTTCCCCTCATTCCCCCAGAATTGTGGGGCTATTGGCACTCCCTGCCAGAGAAGAGAGATTTGGCTAACTGGAAGTCTCTGAGTTACAGATACACAGTCTCCAGAAGAGCCTCAGAGTAGCTTCCTGTGCTGTTGGGCTCCCCCCTTTTTCATTTCCAGCCAATTACCAAATGTTTATGTGGATTACTAAAAGTATTTTAATAATCTATATTGACTGTTTCCCTAATAAATCATTGCCTTAAATAATTATGGAACATAATTACAGTAACATGCACATCATTAAATGTGTCATTAATATTAATCTAAATGTTATCCAATTACAGCCCTGGCTGGTATGGCTCAGTTGGTTGAGCGCCGGCCTGCAAACCAAAAAGTCATTGGTTCAGGCCCTGGTCAGGGCACATTCCTGGGTTGCGGGCCAGATCCCTGGTTGGGTGCATGTGAGAGGCAACCACTAGATGTTTCTCTCCCTCTCTCCCTCCCTTCCCCTTGCTCTAAAAATAAATAAATAAAATCTTTTAAAAAATAGAATATTATCCAATTACAACCAAAAAAAGATAATTTCTGTATGCTTGTCACAGCTTGTTACTCAATCGGCAATGCTCAGCTAAAAAAATCACAATGATTCTCAGTCTCCTTTTGTTTTACTTTTTGGCAGAGTAGTGGGGAAGGTGAGGGTAATAATGGATATGCAGTCTCCTCTGTTGAGAACTCCCTTTGTTCACAGGGCAACTTAATTCATGTGCTACATATGCTGGGCAGGGGGTGGGGGTGGGGGGGACACATCACACTCCTAAGGAGCACAAAAGACAGTGGTGAGCATTCAGTGAAGAATAACCATGAAGTCTTTCCATCTTGTTCTCTCCAGGGAAGAGGGGTTTCATGGAAAGAAATCAGAAGCAGCTACAGAGAAACAGAAATTAGGATATCCTCCCATTGCTCCATTTTACTGCATGAAAGAGGATGTCCTTGCTCATGTGTTTGATGACGTATGGAGCAAGGTCCTGAGCTGTATGGAGCAGCTGACACGTAGTCACTGGGAAGGATTTGCTTCTGGTAAGGATCTTTGTGAAACAATATAAAAAAATTGTTTATTATTTCCAAGAACTGACCTTAAACTATAGGTAACTTAGACTTAGGACATTAGACTATATCCTTCATTAGTACAAAAGTCTCATATTTGTATTTTGCACAGAAACTAAGAGATGTTTAGAAAATATTTGAGAATGAGTAGATGAGTAACAAGGGATAGCCCATGGTGACTAGACAGAGATTGTGCTTTCTCTTTGAATATAATTATTTGTGATAAAAAATATGCAAGTGGCAAATACATCTTTAAACTGCTTTATTGAGGAATAATTGATATTAAATAAATCATACATACTTAAAGTGTGCAATTTGATAAATTGACCTGTGTATAAATCCATGAAACCATGAAACTGCCAATATAGTGAATATATCCATCACCCTCAAAATGACTTTTGTAATCTCTCTCTTCCACCATTGCCTGACCCACCATCCCCAAGTGACAGCTAAACTGTTTTCTGTCACTATAGATTTCTTGTTCTGCAGAATTTTCTATAAATGGAATCATATGGCATTTACTCTTCTATCAGTTCTTTCACTCAGCATGATTATTTTGAGATTCCTCCATGTGTGTGTCAATAATTTATTCCTTTTATTGCTGAGTAGGATTCCATTGTTCCATATGTATTTCTCCTTTTATCAGTTGGTGGACATTTGTATTGTTTTCAGCTTTGGACTGTTACATGTAAAGATGTTATGAACACTAGTGTAGAAGAACTTTTTGGAAATCTATTTCCTTTTCTCTTAGGTAAATTTCTGAGTGGAATAGTTGGATTATAATGGTTAAATGTATATTTAATTTAAAGAATTGTTTGTATTGGTTTTCTGTATTGCACAAAAAATTATCACAAACTTAGCAGCTTCAAACAACACATTTATTATTTCACAGATTTGTGAGTCAAAAGTCCAGGAATGGCTTGGCTAGCCCTTTACTTGGGATCTCAAAAGACTGCAATCAAGGTCTTGGCCAGGGCGGGGTTCTCATGTAGAGGCTCAACTACAGTAGAAAAGGATCCACTTCCCTTTTTGTGTGTTGTTGGAAATACTCAGTTTCCATTTTTTTCTTTTTCTTTTTAAACCATGTTTATTCTATTACAATTGTCTCAATTTTTCCTCCTTTACCCTCCTCTACCCATCCCACCCTGCCCCCCCCCAACTCCCACAGTCAATTCCCACTCTGTTGTCCATGTCCATGGGTCATTTATACATGTTCTTTGTTTAGTTCCTTCTCCTTATTTCCACCGTTGTCCTCCTTCCCCATCTCCTCTGCTCACTTTCAGTCTGCTCCATGTTTCCATGCCTGTGGTTTATTTTGTTCGTTAGTTTATTTTCTTGAATAGATTCCACTTATAGGTGAGATCATATGATATTTGTATTTCACCAACTGGCTTATTTCCCTTAGCATAATATTCTCCAGTTCCATCTATGTTGTCGCAAAGGTAAGAGTTCCTTCTTCCTTTCTTTTTTTTAAAGTGCAGATTGATTTTATTTATTTATTTTTTTAAATGTCAAGATCCATTTTAAATGTTTATGTGGATTAAACACATAAATGTTTAAATGTTTATGTGTTTAATCCACATAAACATTTGGATTTAAAGGTAAGAGTTTCTTCTTCCTTTCTTTTTTTTAAAGAAATGTTTATGTTAAATGTTTATGTGGATTAAACACATAAATGTTTAATCCACATAAACATTTGGATTTAAAGGTAAGAGTTCCTTCTTCCTTTCTTTTTTTAAAGTGCAGATTGATTTTATTTATTTTTTTAAATGTCAAGATCCATTTTAAAATATTAAAAAATTTAAATCCATTATAAATCTCAGCAATCATGATACCTGCACAGAAATAATCAAGTAGAACAATGAAATAAAATGAGCATTATAGAAATAAATGTATATATCTTTCTAACAATGTAATATATGATTAAATTGATATTTCACATCAATATGGATTTAAGGTTTATTCAACATATGAGATGAATGGGTCACTATTACTTGAAATAAAACAAATATGGAGCCCTCTTTCACACATTATACAACAAATATTCAAGTGAGTTAAAAATCAATATGTAAACATTTAAGGTGTTTTAGGAGAAAATATAAAATAATATTTTTCTTACCCTGAAGTAACATATTCAAGCCCAGAAGCTATAAAGTAAAATATTGACAATATGACTATATTAAACATTTAAGACTATACAGTAATATTCATGTAAAAAAAGTTAAAGGACAATTATAGAATAGGAAACTATTTGCAACACATCTAAAAAAGGGTTAATAGTTTTGGGGGTTTTTTTAGGGCAAAAATTCTACAAATCTTTAATCAAAAAAGGAAAAAGAATACCAAAAAATCATTTAAAGCTTTTTAAAAATAATAGAAATAGGCAAGAAATATACAAAAACAGGTTTAGTGTCAACAAATAATAAAGGAACAATTAAAATAACACATCTTTGTCACAATCAGATTAATAAGTATTAAAAATATTGGTAATACCAAGTATTGGTGACTGTGAAGGGAACTGGGTATTCATAGACTCTTTTTCTTCATCTTCTTAAAGCAGTCCCTTTAGTATATTTTGCTGTGCTGGTTTGGTGGAGGTGTATTCTTGCAGCCTTTTTTTGTCTGGGAAACTCCTTATTTTGCCTTCCATTTTAATTGAGAGCCTTCCTGGGTAGAGCAGTCTTGGTTGCAGGCCTTTGCTTTTCATGACTTGGAATGTTTCTTGCCATTCCCTTCTGGCTTGCAGTGTTGCTGTTGAGAAGTCAGCTGCTAGCCGTATCAGGGCTCCCTTATATGTTATTACCTCTTTCCCCCTTGCTTACTTAGGATTCTCTGTTTGGATTCTTTGTTATTTGCCACTTTCATGATGATGTGTCTTGGAGTGGGCCTCATTGGGTTCCTCTTGAATGGGACCCTCTGTGCTTCCTGGACTTGTGTGCCTTTTTCTCCTCCAATTAGGGAAGTTTTCCTTCATTACTTTTTCCAACAGGTTCTCTATCCCTTCCTCATCCTCTTCTCCTTCTGATATCCCTATTATACGGATATTATTATGTTTCAGGTTGTCCTACATTTCCCTCAATGCCTCTTCACTCTTTTTGAGTCTTTTTTCATTTTCTTGCTCTTTCTGGGAGCTTTTTTCTACCTTGTCCTCCAGCTCACTTTTTGATACTCTGCTTCATCTAGCCTGCTTTTGATTTCTTCTACTGTGTTCTTCTATTCAGAAATTGCATTCTTCATTTCCTCTTGTCTCTTATTAATAGTTTCTATGTCCTTTTTCATGCTGATATAGCTTGCAGTAAGTTCCTCATAGTTTCCCTGTAGTTTTTGGTAATTCTCTTTGTGCTCACTGAGGTCATTGAGCTTCCCTAGAACCATTGTTTTGAACTAAATATCTGATAGTTTACTTGCTTCTATTTCATTTATTTCTCTTTGTGGGGATTCCTTCTTTCCCTTCAATTGGGGGATGTTTCTTTGTCTTCCATCATTTGTGAGACTCTTCTTTTTTGCTTCTGCTTCTTGAAGTGATCTGTCTTGATTTCCTGACTTTGTGGTGTGAACTTCTATGGTAGGAGACATCTGTTTTTTCTTTCTGGATCTGCCTCTGATGATGTAAGATGTTGACCATGTCTGACCCTAGGCAGTCTGAGACTTCCAGGAATCTACTGTCTGTGGCTGTCTCCTTCAGCTGTTAATCTAGTCACTCTGCACTCAGCAGGCTGGCCTAGAGACACCACCAGGTGGGGCAGAGTGCCTCCTGGGGGCAGGGCTATTGGGTCCTCTCACACTGCTGCCACTTAGGGGAGTGACCTGCCTGAGTAAGACGGTTGCTGCCACAAGGGGGATGAGTCAGCACTGGAATCCTGCCAGCTACTCTCTCAGTTCTCTCCCCAAAGCCTCCTTCCCTCATCTCTCCTCAGGTGTCTCCAGCCCACTCTGCTACCACCTTTGCTGGAGCCCAGGGTAAGTGGCTGCAAACAAAAATGTATGTGTTGGCCCTTTAAACGACTCTTTCTGTCTCCAGCCACCGGTCTCTGGCAGAGAGCAACTCTGCCACTTTTGGCAGCTGACTGTTACCTGTGTGCTTTTTGGATTCTGGTGCTAGAGGCTGGGGATCCCTGCTTATGGTTTAGACCCCGCTCCTATCAGGTGGATCCAGCTGGTCATTTCAGTATCCTTCTGGTGCTGCCGCCCGTGGGCACCCTGCCCACCTTCTCGAGTCTCTACTATACTTCTTACCAGTTAGGTTGTTCTGAAGCCGATTCTTCTGTCTCCAAGGTTACAAGGCTCCTCTCTCGCTATTGTTCAGTTGTTTGTTCCAGGTGATTTCTCCACAATTTAATTGTTATTCCAGATTGGACCTTGGAGGAGGTCAGTGGGAATTCCACTCACTCCTCTGCCATCTTGATTCCGTTTCTTATAGATGTAGTGGTCATGGTAGCTTTCTTTTCAAAACCAGCAGGAAGATTAAGAACTAGTCTGCTAACAAGACAGGGCTTGTGTAATATAACATAATCATGGGAGTGACATTACATCGCTTTTACCATCACCTATTGTCTGAAAAAAAGTCACAGACCTGCCCATCTGCCCACATTCAAAGAGAGGGGATTACACAAAGGTGTGAACACTAAGAGGTGAGCATCACAGGGGAGCCACCTTAGAGTTTGTCCACTACAAGCCGCCCACCAGTCCCCAATGATCCATATGCTCCGACATTCAAAATACATTCATCTCCCTTCCAAGGTTTCCAAGAGACTGATCCTACATCAGAAGTCCGAAAATCTTATTATCTAAATCAGGTCCTTCTGTGAATGAAGTTCTTGGGTATAATACATTAAATAAGTTAGTGGGGCACAATTCCTTCCCATCCGTAGACCTGTGGAACTAAAGGCTATATACACAGGTATATAAACATCTAACTATGTAATCTAACCATTTCTCTCCTAGATACAAGTTATCTGACTACACATCCAACA